ACATATAAAAATCACTAGTGCATGGGCATAACCAAGTTAAATTTCCAAGTTTAGTATATAAATATTTTCAACACGTATTGTAGTTTCTAAAAAGTGCTACGATCCTGTCTAAATTCTGAAATTTTATTGTCAAAATTATACTTGTATGACCAAATACTATATTTTTTGCTGCTCAGCGGCATGAAATATAAATATAATTAAATTGTTTCTAAGATTTTATCAGGATCGCAGCACTTTTCAGATACCTTAATAGTTCTTTAGTTGAAATGTAAAAGCTTACTTTGATCCATAGAGTGTATGCCCTTGCACAAGATCGATTTATTAAGACCCCCGCATTGCCCTCCGATGTACTTGCATACAAATATACGGCAGTGCCAATTAAATACGTAATGTACAGAAGATATATTAATAATATGGTGAAGAAGACATTAAATTCAAGTTATTGGCCCATAGAATATCTGTAAATATTTTATTTAATTAGAGAATACATATTTTGTTGAGAAAATATTACTTGATCTGTCTTTCACTGCATACAAACTACGTCACGTTGTAAGAAATGACGTCATATTGACAAGTGTGTTGTGATCAGTGACTTGTTTATAACTTGTTATGTGGGATTTAACCAACGACAAAACAACACGCTGTAGTAAGTTTTAATGTAGTTTGATGATTTCTAACTGGTTATATTGGCAGATAAACTCATTTTGTGGTATTTTAAATAAATGTTGTATGACGTATATTGTATATGATGTCATAGTCAAGTTTTCCCGTACAAATTAGGCTCCGCCTCATTTTTTTAACCTTAACTGTGCTGTGCAGGTATTGGTTAACCTCGGCCTTCAGCCTCGGTCAACTAATACATGTATCTGACCAGGTCCGTATAGTCTTGAGTAGACCTCATCAAAAATCAGTATTTATATAATATCATATACTGAGACAAATTATTTACTAGAGGTTTTGTGAGCAATGAGCCCACTAAATGATATTCCCGCCTCCCGTATGAATATAATGGCAATGTCCATGTTTTGCTCCGGAAAATCCAAAATATATGTCAGATCAAAAAGTAAAATAAGAAGTGCACAATGACAATATGTCATGAAGATTCTTTGAAAGAATCATTAAATTTCCTTCATTGGTATGAGAGGAGTTGCGGATAAGAGATGGGTACCCCCAAAGCGTAACAGACGGACGGACAGACATACCGATTACTATATACTCTCCTACTTTTCGAGGTGGGGTATAAAAACAATCGCTTACAAGTATCAAGTAGACAAAAGACCTCTACGCATTATGATTAAGCAGATCGATTTCAAAGTGTTTCGTTTAGGTAGACACATAGAAAGTGTAAAAATATCTAAAACTGAGTAAAGGGTTTTCATGGGATAAAAAAATGACACCGTAAGTGTACTATATTAAACAGGCATTACATAATATTTACATGTACTTATTTTATTCTATTTATAGATAATGGATGCAAGAGTTGTCTATTTTTAAAAGTAATTTTTTTTGTATATATACATTTTTTTAACAATTATGATGCATAATATGATACAAGAAACTGTATTCAAGATTTTAAGTGAATCAAAACAATACATGATAGGGACGACTGAGCAAACACGAACCTTCACATAATCAAAGTTGGGATCAGATGCCATGGAGGAGTGAGCATCCGTTTCGGACCGGTCGCACCCACCGTGTGCTTTTTGTCATGATTGGGAAATAACGGAAAATCCGTCGTCAATGAAACACTAAGTCTAAGCTTGGTTTTTATGCATTGCATACATGTATAAGAGGACAACAAGCCAATACTCAATGGTAAAACGCTTGCTTTGGTAGAGTCTCATGAATCAATCTCACAATAAGGCCTAAACAAAGTGTGTGTTAAAATTTCAAGCATCTGAAATGCTTTTTCATGTAGATAACCGTGATGGAAATTGGGTACGTACAGATACACAGATAAACAGAAAGTTAAGACTATGATATTTATAAAAAGATAAATCCCACCATATGATATGCCTAAACAAAAAGTGTGCTAAAAGCATCAAGCATCAACTATTTATAATTGCCAAAAACTGCGACAAATTTGTGTTACGGACAGACACACAGACAGCTAGACAAGTAAGCAGATACAGAAGAGTAAAAAATACACCCCCTCTCCTTCAGAGCAAGGTTTAATTAATCTGTTTGATTAACTGGACAATGTTATGAATGTGCATCAATCACTTTAAATGTTTGAATAAAATTAACAACATCTCAACAGATTGCAAAATTAGCCAAGTCATTACTATTTAAGTGTGTGTTGCATTGCGAACCACAACCATATTTTAGTATAGTATTTCTGTACATATATGTAATCATTGACCAAAGTAGGGTTTTGGTTCAGAATGCAACACTTGGTGTACTAGAATGTTAAACACCATAACCCTCCGACATTTTCCCATATGCCCAATGTTTAAGCGGTTGAGGATACCATACTTTGGCCGATAATTCTAATTTTATCCTAACCTTTTTCCCCGCAGAAAAATACACGGCACAAAATTAGACAAGTTGAAAATAATGAAAGCCAGTTTAAAATTGTATGCAAACTAATTTCATTTTTCGCAAAAAACATGGACCAAAAACAGCCTTAAGGAAATTTCTCCTTTGAATCTATATTACCTAAGGATGCTTCAACACGAGTTTCATCTTTCCTGGCTCAATGGTTCTGGAGACGAAGATTTTTAAAACATGCCATTACCTTTTCACTAATTCGTAATTATCAACCCTTAGAAGAGGGCATGGCCCTTCCTTTGAACAAACTTGAATCCCATTTACCCAAGGATACTTTGTGGCAAATTGGGTTAAAATTGACTCATTGGTTCTTGAAAAGAAGATGAAAATGTGAAAAGTTTACAACGACGCCGACGACGACGACGACAGACAACGGACAAATTTTGATCAGAATAGCTCATTTGATGGATAGGATCTTTCTTCCAGATTTGTTAATTTCTAGGCCCTTGGCTCATGGGTACCGGGGTCTACATTATAAACTAACACGAGGCCAAAGGGCCACATCACTTACCTGAGCAAAAGGACTTGGAAAATCACATTCACAGGCAGAAATAAGATCATAAGATCAGAATTGAAAAAATAACGGGGGATGGGGGGATGCTTGAATTTTAATACTAGTTGAGAATGCCCACAGATCAATATAGCATACAACTTTGCTGTTCTTGAGAAAAAAAAGGTTTTTGAAGATTTTTATTTTACATTTTGTTTGTATACACCGGGTTTTACATGTACTTCCTTATAGTTTAAATTCAATTCCCCTTTGTTTCCCTCGCTACCCCAAAGGGTCATGATTTGATAAAATTTAAATCTTCAATACATGAAGAAGCTTACATGTCAATATGACTAAACATAGATTTTCTGTTCTTGAGGTTTTTTCCTTTATTTTCCTATTGTAAATCTTTAATCCACCATTGAGACCCCACCCTACCCTTGGGGGTTATGATTTCAACTAATTTAATTCTACACTACCTGACAATGCTATTATTTAAATATCACTAATCTTGGCTTTGCTATTGTTGAGAAAAACATTTTTTTAAAAATATATCTTAATGTAAAACTCGGATCCCCATTGTGGTTCCACCCTTTTCCTGGGGGTTATGATTTGAAAAAAAACTTGAATCTACACTGCCGGAGGATGCTTCCATATAAATATTACCAATCATCGCTTTGCAGTACTTGAGAGAAAAATTTTAAAAGATCCCTAAAATATTGTCATTGATATTTATCATTAACATATTTATAACCCTTCACTATATCTGAATAACAAAATGTAAATCAATTTCAAATCTATAATTACAATTATGGCTTCATTTTTAGACTTGATGTGGTGACCCAGAGCACCGCAATATTTTGATTGAAAATTATTTTTTTACTTTGAAAATATCATTTGTATTTTGAAAATTTCCGTAGAAATTTGGATTGCATTTACATTATGACGTTGAAAAAAAATAAAATTTTCAAACCTGTAAAATTTCAACGTTCAAAGTTTAGAAATGGTTGAAAAATCGAGGTTAGAATCTATGAGGATCGGGATTGTTCGAAAAAGGGACGTTGATTGGCCATTGTGGCCCCACCCTTCCCCGGGGTAATGATTTGAACAAATATTAATCTACGCTACCTGAGGATGATTTCACATGAGTTAAATCTTTCCTGTCTCAATGGTTCTTGAGAAAAAGATTTTTAAAGATTTTTTCCTACATATTCCTATGTAAAATATTGATCTGCCATTGTGACCTCACCTTACTTCCGGGGTTCATTATTAGACCAAACTTTCTTTAATTTGATAAACATGTAGGCACCTTTCCTTTACTAGATCTTGACCTTAACGTATGTAATTTTTAATGATTCTCAAACCACAAACCCGTCCTTTATCCTTTATCCTTTAAAATTCCAAAAAAAACTTTATTTTAAAATTTTCATTGAAATAATGCAATTTTCAAAATTACTTTTTTGTGTATATCGTTTTATTCCTTTTCAGCCGATCTTCATAATAAAAAAAAAAACACAAAAAATGACACCATTTTTTTTTTCAAATAAAAACGTAACTATAATTAATCTATTTAAGACGATAGAGTAAACATGTGGTTTTAAAACATGATAATAATTGTCTTTTCTGTTTCAAACAGCAAGAACAATAAAAAAAAAACCGTATTCAATATGAGGAAGACTGTTTTTATTCATAGTATTTTAAAACGTCATTAAGGTCATTTGTTGATATTCAACTCGGCATTGTTTTCATTAACGTTATTAAAAAACAATGCCTGTTGCGTAAAACAAACAATGACCAACAAAAAAATATATATATAGAAACAACTGCAGCAACAATAGAGACAGCTAATTTTGAGTGCATTGAAGGGAAATATTTTTTCCGGTTTTTTAGTGATGACGTTTTTTTCTTCCGCGTTGTCTTGCAATAAAAGACTCCCGTGGTAAGAGTTTCTACACTGTCAAAGAAATCAGGCGGTTTGATTTCTGGTAGTCAACATGAGCAGCATGTTTATCTGCTCCTTATTCTGGGTTTTGTTCAGTCAAATTGAGTAAGTAGCATTGTGTATATTCTTACTGATTTTTTTTTTATAGAAAACAACTACTATCAGCAGCTCTCTCTCTCTCTCTCTCTCTCTCTCTCTCTCTCTCGTCATGTTTTTAATCTTTCAAGCTAACCTGAGCGATTGACTTAAGTGATTTCCTGTTGATAACGTCTATATGCATTAGTTTCCCGAGGTCTAGAATGGTACGACAGTAAATAACTAACAATGTATTTTAAGAACCTTATCCTCAAGAACTATTAGAACTTTTGTGCATAGTAAAGAATTTTAATCAATTTCGAAAAGGCGGTAATGAAGTATTTAACAGTTTAAATTTGAATTTCATATATTTTTTTTTTGTTTAGTGGACATTTGACACTTTTAGATTAGTTATAACAAAGAGACAGAGTGCTTTGCTCAAGAACGGCTAATCTCTTAAAACAACATTGTATTGTTATACGTTTTTTCATGTACAATCATCAAAGAATCATTGAGTATATTTAATTATTCCATCTATATGAATCTTTCACACATAATACAATTAATTACCCCTTTTCAGGTCAACATGGTGAAATAAGGACCCGAGACCTTGCCCACGAGGTGACCTGGCCTGACCAAGGCCGCGAAGCCGCCGAGGTTTGGGCAGGTCATAGAGTGGGCCTGGTCAAGGTTCCTTATTTCACCATATTGAACTCACAAAGGGTAATCAATTGTTTTATTATACCGATATATATTGAAAAGTATGAATCTCTTACCGTTATCAATTTCGGGATCGGGATTCGTTTTACTCTGTATAGTGAAGTTGTTTACATTGACGTTTGCACTTCGTGTAAGTTTTTGCATCTTGATTTACTGATTAAAACAATATTTGGTTGATAGCGACAAACATTATTAAAACTAGCAATTACTTTTCCTCTACACAGTCAAAATCTAACACAGAATTCAACTCTTTAAAGAGCCGCTTTTACATTTCTTTAAACTGAATTGTAACGATATTTTGAAATGAGTAAATCTTTTAAATTAAGGACAGGTGATACAAACAAAAAATGGATGCCTGGATTGGTATATCTTTTTTGGCCTAATTTCATTTCAAATGAGGCAAATGCCAAATTTCTTGAACATATAGAAATTGTAAACCTTCTGTGATGTTCAAAAGTCTGGCCTTCTGAAGCCATCCTAATTAATCTATACAAATATTTTTTTTCATTTGAAATCCCATTTTTGTGAAATTTTGAATAAAGAATTAAAAACTACGCGGTGAAACATTTTCATTTTAATCATTTAAACATTACGATAGTTGTTATTTTCAAATTTTTTGACATATGTTTATTTGTATCATCTATCCTTAACAATAAAATTTTACCGCATTCTATATGGTAATACAAAACAGACCATGCACAATTTAAAAAAAAAAAAGCATGTTGTTTTTCTCGAATAATAATTTATCATTTTATGCATTAACTTCACTCAAAAAGGATTCTTTGATTAAGAGGTCATTATTTAGCGGTCATTAATAATAATGAACAGATCATTATATCCCACGTGCAATGATTCCTAGGTCATTATTGCTGTAAGCAGTACCGCTTGGAGTCATTGTTGTGTTTTAAAGTTTTCTCACCAGCCAAACAAATTCGAGTATTATCAATAGATGTATAATAATTAATTTATGTCAACACATGTCATTCATTTTCTTAATATGTACATTCTTCTGAATTTAAAGATAGTTTTCGGGCCGGATAGCTGTTCCATTTGGAATGCCGGTGTAAAGACGAATAATAACCCCCATCAAATAATGACCGGGGGTAATTTTTCGACAGCAAAAAATGAACCGCGGTCAATATTCTACGGCGAAAAATGACCCTTTTGCCCGTAGAAAAAGTGTTGCCACCCTAAAAATTGGCAGAACCCACCTGGAGAAAAATGACACCCGTAGAAAAATGACTCCCTGTAGATTAAAGCTGAAATTTTTAGGGGGCAAAAAAAAATTAGATAAAGAAGCATATTGGCTAAAATGCTCACCTGAGCTTATTGGGAATAAATTGATGATATGTTGATCTCATAACATTATACAATTATAGCTATATTTTAAGGTCATCAATGCAATTATTCAGAATCTAATGGAGTAAAAGATTTAACGAGCCTGCAGGGTTAGACAAACATTGTTTTTCGATGGTGAAAATCATCGTATTTACAGAAAAAATCAGCAGTATTATATATTATTATATCCTCTGCTTGAAAAGTGGGAGGGTATATAGTGATTGGGATGTCTGTCCGTCCGTCTGTTACGCTTTGGGGAATCCATCTTTTATCCACAACTCCTCTTATGTATAAAAAGATGTGTTTGTGAAACAGCTATGCCACTGTATGGCAACATAGCGAATATTAAACTTTTCTTAAATGCAATTTAAATATATTGGTACCCAAAGTAGGGTCTGATCACAAGAAATACAATTGCAAAATAGGAAAACCCTAGCACCACTTGTTAAAAAATAATGGCTAAGTTTTTGAAAGGCAGGTCAAACTCAAAGGTCAAAGGGTCAAAGTTGATGGTTTCTTAAGAAATGTTTAATGTAACAAGGATTACATATGTGAAGTATGAAAATCCTAGCCCTTACCGTTCAAAAGTTAAGGCCAAGGTTAAAGATTTTTTCATAAGTGCGGAAATCTCCAAGGTCAAGGTCAAAAGATCAAAGTTTTTAATATCCATTGAAAGGTCATGCCCAAAAAAATACACATGTGAAGTATAAGAGTACTAGTATCTACCGTTTAAAAGTTATGGCTAAAGTAATAATTTGGCATTTTTGTGTAAAATGGGTCAAAAGGTCAAATTTGGTGGTACCCAAAGTAAGGTATTGTCACAAAGAATACACATATTTAATATGAAAGTCATAGCTCCAATAAATGAAAAGTTATGGTCAAGGTTAAAGTTTTTGCGGACAAACAGACCGCCAGATAGACAGACAGACATACAGACGGACAAGATAAAACTGCATGTATATACCCCCGAATCTTCGATTACGGGGACATAAAAAGAAATGGTCTTCAATTTACTTTTCATATTATAATATATACATTTGTGGTATCTCTCTATTATATAAACATACAGAGAGAAAATATCTTCAATTTTGTATGAAGTTTGTCAGAGGTCAGAGGTCAATACGTGACCTAATCACACGGCGCAATAATATCTACCGGTATACATAAATTATGAAATGACCTGTTCTAGGCCCCTACTTCCTTTTCATGTACAAAAATGAAAATAAAAAATAAGCAAGTAAAATGATAATTATTTTATTTCAAATGTAAACAAGTTTTTCATACAGTTTTTGAGCTATCGATTCAACCTGTGTACATAAACAAAACTAGGAGCCTAGCGTTGTTTTCATTTTTCTTCAGACACTTTTGTCAGCTGCACAGTCTCTAATGTTCATCCTTATTTTGGGGGGTAGACCTTTGGTTAAATTTTAATGATAAACTTTTATTTTTTCTTTAAATTTTACTCACGATAAATGTGTAAATCTGTTGAAAAATATCATCGCAATCATGCCATGAACAGCTGCCAAACACCTCGGCGTTTTCGTAGTTCAATGTAAAGCTGTCGCCAGTGTCTCCGTGTTTATCAGTGTTTTACGATAAGTATGCCTTAAGTTACTGAAACCGTAGAATGTTTTTGATCAAATTGCAAATTAACTGGCTCGGACAAGTGCTTCAATCCATCGGATCCATCCATCCCTTTCCAGCGACCGAAATTCCTCCATTTTTATCATCAAACTTCGGACGTGTTTCTTGTATCTTTTCAGCATCGATTATCATTTTTCACGAATAAAAATATTCCCGGACAACAATCTGTTCACTGTTACTGATCAAAAGTAGCCTTTCACAAAATATTCCCTTCGAAACAGATTACTTAGCCTGATGCATTCGAAGCGTAACCGCCATGCAAGCCAATTTACACCTTGAGCCATTTTTCAAAATCTACGACGGACGGTTAGTGCAATAACGTCTTAAATTCGAAAATATTGAATTGTCTGTCTCAAATGTATGTATAAGTAATAAATAACAAGTTTATAAACTTTTTTCAATACCAATTCCTTTCGATATCCATTTTTTAAGCTTACAATACTTTATTTCCTTCATAATACTTTGCCTTAGTATAAAGTGGGGTGGGGGGCAACAGCCTTTGAATTTTTTCAATAGTAAAAGTATTGTTGGCAAAAAAAGTAGGGGGGGGGGCTGGCCCCCTGGCCCCCCAGGTTGCTACGTCCCTGCACTAAAACACATGCAATGAATGCGAGACAGCGTTCAAGGTATGCGAAAGCTCGTGCGAAGCTAAAATTTTCCGATCGCAAAGTGTTGTAAAGTGCTCGTGCGCCAATTTTGAAAGGGCCTTTAACAACACAAAAATAAATCGAATTTATTCAAACCCATTGTCGCAAACCACAGTTTAAGAAACTTTTTATGTTTAGTGATTTAATAAAAATTCAATTCAGGCCAACAATAAAAATTGATCTGTTTGACATACTCTGAGGACCCGTCAAAATTGTCCTTACCTAATCATTTTTTTCAGCACCTTGAACTTTTATTTTATTTTTTTTTTTGAAATTGTTTCATTTCAAAGCAGAGATATATAATTTCAGTAGGATTATAAAAAACAACTTGTGTAGTTATGAAATGTGTTAGGAAATCAATGATTTTTATCAATTTTTCAGCAGTTTAACACCCCCACCCCCCAAAAAATATAAACCACCTACTCACCTTGAAAAATGTGGGTCGGAGTACATCAAACCAAAATATTTTATTGATCAGTAAACACAGTTTTTCCAGATTGAGAAAACGGTGCGTTGTATTGTAAAGAATTTTGTCATCATAAAATAATTTTTTTGATGGTTGAATGACGGAAGAAAGTTAAGTCCAGGTAGAGGCTTTTCTATGCAAATGAGCTTATAGAAATGCATAATTTGTGTAATTTTTACAAAGAGAAGGTTCGAGCTTATTTTCTTATACATAGTTAGTACACACAACCTTGTAAAGCAACTGCACATTATGACGTCAAATTATGACGTAATTGATTTTTTCTATTCAAGATCATAAACACATCAACATAATTACACTGGCGCAAGAGCATATTTTATATAATTTTTGATAAATAAAGTAAAATAATATGAAGAATGTTATCAAAAAATGAATAAAATCCTAGGCGCATTCTCAATTGATAAAAATTTTAGGAAACTTACACAAGACAGTGATTTTTTACCCAGTTTCAACTTAGAACTTTTGAATAATAAACAATTGCACTGTGGACATTTGTGCAGCAATATTATAAATCCTTGTAATATTCTGCGTCTAATAATAACTTGTTTCTGAAGACAAAAGTAGAGTATGCCCTTGCGCCGAAGCTATTTTGTTGATGTTCCTTACAGTCCCTGAAACGTTCTACTTTCCCACCTGAACGGTGAACGAATGCTGAACAAACGCAGAGCGAACGGCGAGTGAACGATATGCGAACGCTGAACGCAACTTGGTGAACGATGTGTGAACGGTGAACGTAGGACGCGAACTGAGCGCGAACGCAGCTCGCACTCGAGCGCAAACTGAACGGTGAACGCAAGATGAACGATCTATTCGGAATGCCTCCGATCTTTTCATTGCATTGAAATTATTCTATTATTCTATAATTCTAATTTAAGGTGCTAAAGTATAAATAAAAAATATATAAATAAAAAAACATTTTTTCTGCACATACATATGTTTCAAATCGATATTTTAATTAAAAAATTCTAATTGCCGTAAAAGTGTATTTGTTACCGAACGCATGTAGTATGAATATATAATTAATCTATTTATGTAGTAGATATGCTTATTCTTTTAACTAGTAAAATAATGTGGACTGTAGAAGATAAAACTACTACTTATAGAATGAATTAATTACACTGTACCCGGTTGAAACAACCATGCATGTACTTCCGTGCCAAGGCGATTCTGAGTTAAATAACCGATTTTCTTTTTTCATTTACAATTGTCCGTTGACGTATTGCATAAATACACTAGTATTTTGAAATTCTAATGCAAAATATTTTTAAAAAATTTGTGTCATTTTTATTATTTTATGATGATAACTTTAGCTAACTTCTACATGTATTTGTAGATATTTCCCGGCCGTGATTATACTCAGACAAGATGATGGAAAGAGGCAATCAAATTATGTGTAATGGATTGAATTTTCAAATCTAAATAAGTAATGTGCTGTCATAGATTTTATTGAACAGAGAGAGAGAGAGAGAGAGAGAGAGAGAGAGAGTCCTTCTTTATTTTTATATGTCTGTTGTATCAAATAAAAATTGCTATTATTTTTCCTAAATATTCCAAGCAGTAAAAGTAATTAATTTTAGATTTTAGAAAATCGTTCGTACGATTTTTTTCTCTTCTGATTCGGAAGAGAAGCATACTGGATAAGAGGCGCAAAGAAATCGACCTTGACGTAAAATATAGACTACGCTCGAATTTCCCACAAAAATTGCACGGAGGTTCTAAATTAAACTACGATAACTCAGAAAATACCGAAAATAAAGAGACCAGTGAAGACTTGTTTAAATGGAAATGTTCTCCACTTTTACCAGCTGTATTTTATTTTCCCTATTTCAGTACAGAAATATAAGCAAAACTGTGTTTAATATACATATTACGAATAAAAATAGAAAAATCACATGCCTGGAAGAAAATTCTGGTTTTTACAAATTAGTTAAAAGTTAAAGTTAAAGCAATAATATTTACATATTTTAAAAGCAGAGAACAAATTATGAACAACGACTTAAAGAACAGACAATTAGTATACAGGAGTAAAAAATATATTTGTCCATGATTGAGTATCACGGTACTAGTTGTATTGCAACAAAAGGTTCTTTTGGTAAGACATTACGTGTTACAAAAGGAATCAATCAGCTTGATTATTGACAATAAGTATGTATAACTAGTCATTTTGCTTCCTTTTGCAGTACTTAATCAAATTAACCAAATAGCTTTCAACACTTTCACTTAAAATATGCCATCTTTACTAAAATGAATATTACTTTCTCTTTTCTCTTATTTTGAATATAAGAACCCTCTTCCACTTCATTCTTAAAATTTTTTTTTTACGTGGAATTTTTTAAAAAGAATTGATTTTTAAAAAATAGAAAAAAAGTCATAGCTTCAGCTCAAACCTGCTTTTAATGAAAATTGCATTAGAATATCATTATTCTTCGCAAAATATCGTCAAGTAAGTTGTTGAGTTTAAAATACTTCAATTATTTTAATTAGATAATAAATAAAAAAAATGTCCTTGAAGTGCTGTATATTTTGCCAAAGTCTTACAGAAGAATATCTATCTTTTCAGTATCGCTACCTGTTGTACAATCCAATATAAAACATTAGAACCGTACCAGATAGAAGTGTGCAACGATAGAGTATTTAACATATGGTAAGAATTGTTCTCATAAAATATATAAAGCAGATTGCACTTGTTATTGTATTTCAGAATAATTTTTTTAAATACTGATACCCTTATAATTTTGTTAATAGTGTAACATCCACACGAAACATTGAATACTCTCATTTCCCAATTTTTATAGCAGATATAATAGTCTTCCTTTTTATATGAACAAAAGACTAGTGTACCACAAACAAATTACATTATGAGAAACAGAAAACAACATAAATAACTTTTAAGTTCCCTTCTAAACTGTCTTTATATCCCTTATCCCCGCCATGGATTCAAAGACGTAGACAAAACTTTTACAAGTCCCTTTTAATGCTTTTTAAGGTTTTCTTGTATTGTTATAATATACATTATAAAGTACTTAGAATACAGGTAATAAGCACTGTGAAAAATATTTGCAAAAATCTGGAAAAGAAACTTTATGACGTTTTGAAGATTTTTTTATTATAAACTTTATATAGCTGGGCTCATAAATGGGTGACAAGATATCGCTATACGTTCAGAAAGAGATGTTGCCATGGATATAAAGAGAGTCTTTCTTTGTTGTCTTGTCTACGTAAGTACTCAATTACACCTTACCTGTATATATTTTTACTACAATATCTTGATCTGGGTTCTGGATGATATCGAGTTGACATTTGCATATCAACAAAGTAAATAAAGCAGTAACACGAAAGAGGTTCCTTTTTGATCTGCCGATTCGCGCTTGTCAATGCCATTTTATCCAACCCACTCTACATTTAATAGACGAATGTTAAATTAATTTCACATGTTGGAGAGGATTGATGACACTCGTTAAGACATCAAAAAGTTCTGCCCCATTCATTGAAAGGCGCGGGTCATCAGACGCTTCGCACTTCTTTTATTCAATGAAACAAAGTAATTTATATAGAACTTTTTAATGCAAAAAAGAAGGATATACGTAATCCGTTTCAGAGAGAGGTGATATGGATTCAGGAAACATAACGCATCACACTGTCTCGTGAATGCACAAATCCAACAATAAAATTTAATGATACAGAGTTGGGTATACATTTTTAAGAAATCTGTATCCAACTTCTTAACATATCCAATTAATTTATCAGGTCTAGATTTTTTATTTAGCTATATGCAGCATTTTTTGTCATGGTCATGGTAGATGCGTAGCCCCTGAAGTCTGCAGCTGTCAAAATGGATATACCGGGAAATAATAAAACGGAAATGGATATTTCTGGAACTAAATATACATGTTAGACTTATTTGTTATTTTAGATTATAAATAATTATTTAGGAAATTCTCCGACGTAAGAAAACCGATTTTTTTCCTTCTGTCAGAAGATAGTAGTATGGGAACCGTAAAATAATTAAGAATGAATTGGATTTCATAATATGCAGAAAGGTGAATACGACTGGGAAAAAATGGCAGCATGGAATGACTTAAATTACAAGTTATATCAATATTTTCCATTTATTCAATATGCTTATGAATCTCTAAAAATGAAATTGCAAATTATAAACAATTCTTTTTTAATTTTTGAAAAATAAATTAAAAGTTAGCCCAGGAGATAAAAACTGATAAACAAAACTCTGAAAATCATGTCATGTGCATGTACATTTCCCGACTATACATTTATGTAAGGTTTGAAAAATGTTTAATATTAGTTTGTAAAAATATTTATTTTTGATTTTTTGAAAATTTTAAAAGCATTTTGACCACAATTAGCAGTAAACAAGAATGATCATCAGAAAAAAAGTTTAACATCTAAGTACGGTTTATCATAATAAGTCACGCTATTTGACGAGATCCTAATATTGTACGACTTACTATATTGTTAGTTTACAAGCGATAATTAGTTCGTTCTACATTCAATTAATGTAAATTGAGCTTCATTTATTGTATTTGGATATAAAAATAAAATACAAACGAAATGCTTGTTTAACAAATGACGTTCCGATAAAAACTTACAAAACGAAATTTACACGTTTCTAAACGCACAATCACGCACGATTAAAACCGCAAACGATTGAGTTTGATACACGCACGATCTAGCACGTTACACGAATGACCACGCACGATACACGAACGATTCTACACGATTGTTTTGTCAACAATAACGTTGCAGCCAATGTATATAAGTATGCCCAAAACATTCCGAATACGAGCGTTCAATTTCGAGCGCCCCGTTGTAAACAAGAAATGTCGTCTGGTCAACATCTCGAAGGCAGACTTATGATAAAGAGTGGCTTCTAGGTTAGAAGTGTTTATTTTCACGCACAATTTGAATTGTTAATTCATAATTCAATACATATTAACCTCAATGATACCTCAATAAGCAGATTGTAAGGCTAGGTAGTTTCATTGAAATGATGCAATATTGAACACTTGCAGGCAAATGTTAATTTAAATACCGAAACTGAAAATTCTTCTTAATTTGTGTTTATTGGTACTTTGAACAATTCTATAATTTGTTGATTTGTATAAATTGTATAAGAAATATAAAGTAACAAACATTTTATAGTTTCAAAGTAGGTTAGTGGCAAATTTTGTTTTTATGATGTCACAAACTAGTCAGATTTTGCATTATTTTTTTTGGCTTTAGAATTTATAGAGCGCAGGTCTGCTCAGGAACAATATTTGCATTTTTTAATTGATATTATTATTCTACACATAATATCAAAAGATTGATCCCGAGCAGATTTGCGCTCAGTGATTTTTACTTTCAAAATCGACGCAATATTTACAAATTTCTGTAGAAATTATGAAAATTTCAATTTTACGTTAATTCCCTGATGTCATTTTAAATACATGACGTCATTGCTAATAAAAATATTCAGTGCTTTGAAGTCAGCATGTTCCCCCGTGTTTTAGAACAAAATTTAATAATACTTCGTCAAATTTTGATTATTTGGGCAAATATTGGTTATTATAAAGTCCATTGAACAGACAACAGACAAAGTTCAATAACCCTAAATTATCTTTCATTAAAATTTCATTATTACTTGCATCATGCTATATGACTCACACATTAGACAAAATTCCAATATCCCTAGAGGACGCTATGACTACAACTGTGAAGACAGGTTTAGCATTAACTGTGGAGTCCGTGGTAGATGTAACAGAGAGACAGGGGAATGTCAAGGTGGATATTAGATAGGATGGAAAGGGACGAAGTGTGACAAAATTAGACATTTAAAATTATCAATATATCTTCGTTTTGTTAATTAACAGTACAAATTAGAAGGTGAATCATGCCATTATTATATTTAATGAGTACGGGATAAAGCAACAATGACGACATCAATCTTAAGATAAATTGACGTTTTAACGCTAATTGTCAGTCTATTATTTAACACTTTACACTGATTTTGACGACGTATTTTTCCTCTATTTCCCTATAATGACAAGGAGCAACCGTTGGTGTGACCAGTCGGCAGGAGATGCCCACTCCTCCTTAGCACCCGATCCCATCTCTGTAAAAGTAAAAAAAAAATTACATAGGATCCCTTTTAAAAACTTCTAACAGAAATGAATGTTTTCTAATTTACAAAACACTCTATCATGCGCTGATTTTTACAACATTACAAGAGATTATACTGTCCGTGTTATCACCAAATATGATCATGATGGATTGCAAGACAGTGTAAAATTTTCACCATGGACGCACAGTTTATGGAAAGTGTTGAACAATATATTCAGTAATTTATCAAAGTGTTAATTGTATATTTTAGCACATTTGAAATGAAATTAAAAGATAATTATTGACAAAAGTTTTATAAAAATTATTCTAAAAATTCAACGTAAAATTACTGTACTGGACAAAAATAACTTATTTCATTATCTTCAGAGTGTGATAATAATAGATACGGACCTGAGTGCAATATGATTTGTGGTAAATGTGGCAACGCAGAACAATGTAATCACGTGAACGGAAGTTGTCCGAACGGATGTGACGTTGGTGTTCAAGGGAATAAGTGTGATCAAGGTCAGTTAAAGTAATTAAACTATAAATCTTATATAAATATTCACAAAAAAATGGATTTCGATATCAATATAGAAATTGTTTCTCCTTAAAGATTATTTAATATGATAAGATAAAAACATGAGTCAACTAAGAAGAATGTAAAGACCCCACGTTGGTTCGTTTCACATTAATTTTGATTCCAATAAGAGTTTTTTGTTGTTTTTAAAAAATCTCAATATAAATAAATAAAAATATCACAAATATAATGTTTGATGCATTTTATTTTTTAAAAAGTTATATCATTAAAACAATTAAATATACATATTAAAAGTTAAACAAACACAGACCTGTGAAACAATGCAAAAGGAAACATCCTTTGATTTTATAATTAAAGAAATGCAATTTATATTAAATTTAAGTCATTACCTTTATAATAAAAATTTACTTCGTGAAATCAAGTAATACTTACATTCAAAAGGTTATTGCTTTGTCAAAATGAAGAGAACATAAATCAATTAACAAGCAGGTTGAATAAACAACTGAAGTAGATGAAATTTCTTGTTTTTTGCATTTGAGATACTTCTATTCTATAGAATGCGACGGTGGTACATTTGGACTAAACTGTGCTCAGTCATGTGGGGTTTGTCTTGATAAAGAACAATGTCATCACGTAAACGGGTCATGCTTGAATGGCTGTGATAGAGGTTACCAAGGAGACAACTGTACACAAGGTGACCAAATCAGTTCTTAAGAAGTTAAAATAATTTTTCATCAACAAACAATCAGTATTGAAAAAAGGGGTAAATACATATGAAATTGCATATAATTTGTTTTTAGTGTAATTAGAAGTAAAAGCATAAAATAATTTTAAAACATTTGCGTTCATTCTATTTATAAAAGGAGTTAATTTTATTTTTTTATGCGTTTGGTTTAACTCTGGATCTCTTTTATTAAAGGAATGAAGCTTATTTTAACTTATGTTATCCGATATAACATAACTTTGTGCAGTTTACGCTTTATAAACCGCGAAGCGGTTTCAACATAAGTTGAAATAAACTTCATTTCTTATAAATTAATTTCAATGTAGACAATGAGACAATATTTCCTTCAGAAAAAGGCTTCAAAGTGAGCATTATTTCAAAAGTAACGTCAAGCGAAGTGATACGTTTTTGACGTAATTCATTGTGACGTAGGCAAGTTATGTTATACAAAACTGATAAAACCATTAACCCAATCAAATGACGCGTTACAACTGAAGTTAAAGTATTTGAAAGTGTATATTCATGTATTTTTTAATGTAAGATCATGCT